TTATTAAGCTTGCCCTACATATTGTATTATGTTTCAGAAAAAAATCTTTTAGTCCATATTTCGTCGCCGTTTAAAAAAAATCTGGTAGTTTTGAGAAAAATTTCCAAATTACTTGCTCATTCGTACATATTGACCTTTTCATTTGTGATCTTCTTCGTTGCTATACATAATCACCTAATTAAAGTGGAGAGTTGCAAACATAAAGCCAATGCTAATAAATGTATACCCGATTTTTCAAATGTTACGGAGTTCTTGTGATAACTCAAAATATGTCCTGGAGTTCTTATGATAACTTTTGTTACTGCCAATGTGTTTCTTGTGCTTAATTACGGCACGTTTAAGCGTATTTTATTAGTCAATAAGTGTATAAATCATTATGAAGAATAGTACGCTTATCATTTGCACAAAAATTTGGTTATATAACGTTGGTTTTGATCGTGTTTTAGTTCCTAATTAAATTTGTGCGAAATCATATTGACATTATAAAACCCAACGAATGCACTAAATGTTTCTGTGTATACTGTTCGTCAACAAAAGTTTATGTCATATGTTTCCGCAAATGCAACATTGAGGCCATGTGGCAAAATTAAAACACGATCATTCAATATATCTGGAGAAGACATGAAACTGCTTTGGTGTACAGTCTATATAAGATAAACAGGTGCTAAGCTATCTTCAGGAACGACCGCCTCCGTGGTCGAGCAGTTTGAGTCGATGACTTCTAATCCAGTTACCTCTGGCGTGGGTTCGATCCCCGGGAAATGCTTTGGTAGTTTAGCACGGAGGAAGGTAGTCTAGTACTGGTGTAACTCTCCAGGAACGATGGTTAGGAAATTACCCGCCCATATGACTGAAATACTGTTGGGAAAAGGCGTAAAATGAAACAAACAAAGAAACAGAAATCTTCAGGAAAACCTGAATCAGCAGTAACATGGCTTAAACCGCCAAGGAAAAATTGTTTAAAACTTACACTTTTTTCTCAGTTACATGTTTTAAGCAACCGCCTTTCTAAAGCAGACAATAAGTAGTTGGGCTTCCCTCAAGAAGCGGCTAAGTAAATTGTATCATAATATACCATGTATCGTATATAACCGGGATACCCTTCACACCCATGCACCCGAAATGTATGATCTTTTTATGCATAAAAAATCAACCGTTTACTACCAATCTCTTCGACAAATTTGCACGTGCCCTACGGGTTCGAGCGAAAGAAGTTCGACAATATATTTTTGTAATCAATTACAGCAAAAGTTGTTGCAAAATTTCCACAACTAGGACTCCATCTTTGATATGAAAAATTTATGCAGTAATTTTCCGAAATATGGAGATTGCTGTACGTCACGTGATGCTACATTGGATTTAATAGAGAAAGGAACAAGGTCGATAAACGGCATGAACCTTACGGTGACTCACATCTTATTGCAGACTTACTTTCTATCGTCATACCATTGTCATAGAACTTTATACGTTTCTATGACAAAAACTGATACATTTTAGAAATTGAAATACCCGTTGAATACATAAAAACGACACCCACCTCATTAAATTTAGATAAAGGTAGTGCATACTACCTCCTATTTTGCTGAAAACCATTTACATGCACACCGATAGCATAGTTACGTAATGTTCTCTAAAACTGCCAGGAATAATGTATATATGACGGAATCATGATTCAAAGCGTATTTTTATCCTGTAAGTAAATGCTCTACATCAAGTATGTTTACAGTCATTCCAATAAAATTTAAAAAAAACCACACACACAAAAAGATCAAAACAAACACAAAAAACACAAGAAACGGAGGTAAGAAAATATCTCTTGAACTGAAGGACACGATCAAAACGAACGTTATATAACCAAATTTTTGTGCAAATGATAAGCGGACTATGCTTAATAATGATTTACACACTTATTGACTAATAAAATACGCTTAAACGTGCCGTGATTAAGCACAAACACACTGGCAGTAACAAAAGTTATCATAAGAACTCCAGGACATATTTTGAGTTATCGCAAGAACTCCGTAACATTTGAAAAATCGGGTATAAATTTATTAGCATTGGCTTTATGTTTGCAACTCTCCATAATAATTAGGTGATTATGTATAGCAACGAAGAAGATCACAAATGAAAAGGTCAATATGTACGAATTAGCAAGTAATTTGGTAATTTTTCTCAAAACTACCAGATTTTTTTTTAAAAAGGCGACAAAATATGGACTAAAAGATTTTTTCTGAAACAAAATACAATATGTGGGGCAAGCTTAATTATCAAAGTTAAATTTAGCACCTCAAACTCCCCATTTAAAGTTAAAAATAACCATTTTTTACGCGAGTTCTCCAAGTATATAGAAAAGTTTTCCACAGAAATCCGTAACGTTTTCCAGGAACTCCGTGACAGTTATCATAAGAACTCCAAACAAGTTATCATAAGAACTCCATCCTTCGTGTAACACTTCCTCCCCCGTGCTGACATAAATCCGTGTTGACTAATCCGTTTCTACTCGTCAAGGTAGCATGGAAAGCATGCACCCCAATATTTTCATGTTTTTGATGGGGGTGTACAATCACATGTCTTTTGTTATACGGCGATATTACCGGCTTATTGTCATTCAGTGGCTTACATATCTTACATCTGTCACTTCCAAAATTGCGAATGCTAACATTAGGCGGCATTTGAGAGAAGCAGAATTATGTAGGGTGTAGGGATGGTGCAGCAGGTGGCCATCATCCGCAAGGCTAGGTGCGGCGCTTGGTATACATCATACCTTCATCACCAGAGCCTGGGAGAGATACCGGCTACATGGTACACCCGCCAGGAGCCATGCTGGAGGTCGGCAAAGGGTCACAACACCAGCTCAGGATCGGTTCAGGAACGTCGTACAAGGTTTTCGACAGGAACTTCTCTTCGAAATGATCTTGTTAATGCTGCTGCGTTTTTCCACGCAGACGGTACGTATCTAAGGCTGCATGAAGGTAATTTGCGGTCGAGAAGAACTTGCAGACGTATCGACATAGCCAGGCTCGTTTAGAATGGACCATGGACCACACATGGTGGACCATGCAACACTGAAGGCATTATTATTATTTATACATACACATGGTTAATACGACGCAATTTTCCATACTAAATAGTTTCACTACCATTCTCAAAATGCTGAAAAACATTCAGTAAACAAAACAAAATCCAAGAAACAACAAACAAAAGAAAACACCCCCCCCCCCCCAAAAAAAAAAAAAAAAAAAAAAACAAACCCTAAATATATTTTATATGTTTTATATATACATTTTTTTACACAGGATGGAACGAATTAAAGGCTTCTTAAATAACTTGGCTTTTGCAGTGACCACGATGGCTATCGTATAATGAAGACAATAAAATCAACAATTACAACAGCAACAACGAAATTATTTGATTCACAGCAGCCAGTTCACGTGAAATAACAATACGACAACCTATATGGTCTTGAAAGTTTTGTACGTAGTTCTTCTGAAACATCTGAAAATAAATGTGTAATTTCAAGTTCATTTCATTATATAAAAGTTTTGTGGTTCTACGGGGGTTTAGCTCCTATATCTGCGAATAAAAGTAATCTTTCAGATTGAAATTTAATAAGCTGATATTTAAAACAAATTATTTGCTTTTATCTTATGTTCATGGTTATAATGTACTCATTTTAAATATACAATTTACTAAGTCTATGTGGCTATGTAAGTTTATTTATGCTCGACGCCGGAATATACCATCTGTCCGAGATTCATCAGCGTCCATGCCGCTTCACTGTAGAGGTCCCTTCGGGGACGTCTTTTCATGCTGAATCTTATTGACCAATTCTTCGTTTGTTGGTGGTCGGTGGGGGTATGACAGTTCTACCAAGACATCACATTTGTTGACGGCAACAAAAAATCGGCTGTTGTTAAAACAACCTCCCGAGTAAGTCGCGACAGGTCAACCAATCATCTCTGGAACTTGACCTTGACGCGATGTGCACGCCTCGGAAAGGATCTGGAGAAGTTGCAAATGACCTTGGATAGTTTTATAAGGTTATCATGCCTAGCTTTTTCTACAAGTCAGATACTTATAATATAATACCGATAGCACTGTGCGAGTGTACACGGGCACCAGAAATGCCCTCCAGTCATGCACTAAAAGGGTTAATTTTGAAGCACAATGTGGTGAAAATTTAAATTCATGCAATGACCATGAAATTAAATTTGTGCAAAAAGTAAGACAATGTAATGCCAATGAGAATCTAAATGTACCGTAACCTGAGACAAGATGAAAATGAGGAGGTAGCCATCCGCCGTTCAAGCCGCCTAACCGTACAAGGGGCTCACGCAACCTTGTGCCCTTCCTCAAAGTCTCTGCCCACTCTCCTCGGTTTCAGTCAGGACATCGACAGCGGGTCTGCACGTACTGGTACATTTCTGCTTGTTAGCTTTTTCTTCCTCCAAGATAATATACATACCTTTAGTCTCGGTGACAAAATTTACAAATGCCAGGATAGGTTATTTGTGTGCAAGAGAGTTAAATGTATAGATAATTCATTCGACTTACCTTTGTACAAGTTAAGACTATTATTATGGTTGAAAATTAAGACACCTCTTCTACAAGATCACTGCCACCCGCAAATGTTTTAACATTAAGTACTGTAGAACCCAAGGGCACTGCTCTTAAAAAAGTATGACACTAGGTTTCATAAGAAGTTTTATCTTGTCTTACGAAATATAATATTATTGATTAAATAACAATTTGGGATATTTTATTATTTTATGGAACTGTTCAAATGAAGCTCACAGTAGGTAGCGGCAGTTAAAACTTCAAAGTACTGTTTTGCAATTTTTCGTTTTATGATATAATGAACTAAGTTTCATGAAAAACGCATATATTTCATAATTTTCTTGTTTTCATGTGAGTAAACGTGTCATCCTCAATAAATAATGCGAAAACCATGATTTTTCTCGAAATCTTTCAATTAAAAATTAATCATTAAGTGGAGTATTAATAAAATGCTTTCGTAGAAATATGAAAACGCCGAAGTGACTTTATGTAATTCTTAGTTTTAATAGCAGGAGACCGTACTCTTTTACAATATATAAAGTGAAATATGAAAAGTATTAAAACAAATTGTTCCATGGCTGTTACGAAAAATCATAACTTATAGAGGTTAATTGTTACTTAATAATAACAGCCTAAAATGTTAAAAATATTTTATTTCAACAAAACAGGTTTATCTGAAAAATACGTTCATAATAGTGGGTTTTTTTATTCAATATATTACTTTTCTCGTTCAAAAGAAGTTTCATGCTTTTCATTTAGCCGTAATTTAGCAATTTCTTGTTTTGCTTTGATTCATAACTGTCAGTGGCTTTGTGAAACAACTGTTAGTATAAAATGTCTTTTTGTATTTTATTTGTAAGTACATGTATATCAATTTCTTGCATTAAAATATGACTGACTTGTAACAAGATAAAAAGAACTTTATATAAATACAACAGTAACGGTAACAACATAATTATAGCACAATGTTTGCTTATTTATCATTCACGAATTTCGCCAAAATCTATTTCCATCGAGACACTGGTGTCATCTCCGAATTTTGCAGCTGTAAGCGTTTCATGGTATTTACAGCCCGTCTTTTTTCCTTTAAATTAAACCAGTACGAGTCTTTTATTCTCCTTCCGAGTGATTTCACTTCTTTGGACTCCTTCGGTCCTCTTTCTCGCTCCATTTCTCTAAATTTCGCTCGCTTTTGGATCATATCGCGGTATAATATCGCGTCTTTGTTGATTGGCTGAAGTAAAGGGGTTTTCCCGTGTACGAACCAATCAATCAGCACGGTTTTAGATCGTTCCACTTTTGGAATCGGTGGCGGTTTTGGAAGCGTCGAAGACTTAACTACACTAGGAAATGGTTTGCTTCCTGGGTCCCCCTTTTCTTCATTTGGATCAACAACCCTAATGTCAAGGATTTGAAACAAAAGAGGGGAGAGGATGGGCATCCGGTGACCTTGTTTAGAAGAAAGTCTTCTCGACAGCTTTGTTTCTGCTAAAAATTTCATCATACTCAGAGTATGTGGGTTTTTCTTGTAAATCAAACGGTCAAAGATCTTAGCTTCAAGGTGAAAAAAGGTACAAGCGCTCGTGCAAATAACGCTGAAAATATTCTTTTCGAGTCCCAGCAAAAGTTCAAAGTCGCTAATGACTTCGCCTTCTTCAACGTTACAGAGGTCGACAAATTTGTCGAACATAACTTTCTCAGCGGCTGCGTACCCATCGGTTCTGCGTATGTATGTTAATGGATCCATCCCTGCTAGTATATGTTTTCTGCTCTTGTTCAAGCGAATACCATCTCTGAAAATTAACGAATGAAAGCAATTGATGAGCGATGAAAATAAATGACTATCTCCGTCGTTGAGAAATTGAAAATGAACATAAGCGGATAAAAGAGCTAGCTATCTATATGACAAAGAGTCTAGTATTTTACTCGTTGGCAGACATATTAATAACAAATACGTTTTTTTTATAAATTTATAAATTTATTACTACTGTACGGTTATGATCTGTTGCAATTGCAATCACTGAGCGCAGCATACACATTTATACTATATTGTTATTGCATGATATGGTGTTAAAAAGCTGAGCCAATGAATCTTACGCCATTTCCGATAAAGACGAATCCTCGCGGATGGCCGCTTCATTTGTCATTTCTTCCTTCTCAAATAAACCTTTCTTTGGCTTGACAAATAGTTCCGGGAACAGCGTTCTATGGCGTGCTGGTTCTGCTGCCAATTTTGCTCTTCCGCTTGAGGAAATGAAGAAATGAAACAAGACGTAAGCATAAATTAGCAGACTATTTTATTTTAACCAAATGTCCTACGTAATATTATTTGTTTGATATATCTTTAACAACAATAAGGTTTGCTATAAAATTGGCGTCGAAAATAGACGATATTGAATGAGTGTACGTTTAATACTGAATTTATTGAACGAGTTGAATAAAATAATATTATGTCAGCCTCTGGCGAGCGTAATATTATTTTATTCAACGAGTTCAATAAATATAGTAATGAAATAACACGAGTTTAATATTCTATCAAATAAAGACCGTTTGAAGTGATAAAGAAACATTTTTCATTGACGCGCCTACTGAGTATTGTATAACGCTAATATTTAGCGTGTTTTTACCCTTTGTTTATGTAACGCAAATGACGTCACTTCAAAATAAATGCACGGCCGTGCAATGCTTTTTTTACGGAGTCGCAAAATCGGCACGGGTTTGTGATAAATGATGCTCGGATAATTTAATTTTATACAGTTCGTTCAATAAATTAAGTATTGAATCCACTTTCATTTAATACCCTCAATATAGTTGATTGCACTTCTTCAGACTGTCCAGGTATGTTGAAATGTGTAATTATAATTATTGAATGATTTATTGAAAAGTTGTAATCTTTGTAAACGTACCTCACTAGAAATGTAAGCCCATTCACATTATCTCCTTGTTTGATCACGTGATCGCCAATTCTATGTTCACTGCGGACAAGTGACCACTGAAGCTGGCGTTGTTGGGGAATGTTCCATTTTGAGAAGAAAGGGTGTGTCTGTATGAACAATCGCTTTTCATCAAGGTCTTGTTCGAGCGCTTCCTGTTGAAGGATGAAGAAAAGGATGATTATCAATAACATTTCAATTGTTATTGTTTGGCAATATTGAGCTGAGACTCATTAATTTTCTAGAGGTTTTTCGTTAATATCCCTAATTTACTTATTTTGATTAACGCTTAGGATTTTAATAATAGTACTGATCTCGATACTTTAATCGATAAATACTGTTTGATGGCCTAGAGGCTAGGACGACCGAATTTTTATCACCTATAGTTGCAAGGTTCGAATCTCGGAAACATGAGTTGATAACCTGTGTGTTATTCATTTCTAGCATTTTTTTTTTAATTTCATCATTTTTATGAATATTGTATTTGAATTTTCAAATGTCTCATGTCTTTATTGCCAAATAATAACAATCATGTTCGACCTTGGAAGTAATGTTGGCGGACATTAATGCACTATTCCGAAGTTTGACGGAAAGGGCCGAGAAGATTGGGCCGATTGACTCGGAATGACATTGAGCTCGTAATCGGTATTCAATTTTAAGTATATTGTAATTGTAAATCATTCTTGTTGAGAGTGGGCGCATTATATAATGAAGTGATAGGACAACGAGATAATTGTTTCAAGTTAAATGTTGTAAATCACACTGTAGCTTTTCAATGAATGGACAAATAAACCTTTTAAACATAATATTTATAAACATGATTCTTGTCTGTGAAGTATTTGTTCCCGATCTTTGAGATAATGTGTAATCAAAACAAACAAATTGCTTCATTTTTTAAATTAAATTCGATATACCGGTAGTTTTGTTTTCGAAACAGCTTTGTTTATATATGGATATTGAGTATCCTAAAATAAATTGTTACAAAAAAAACTGTACTACTTTCTGTAATTGTCTACCTACGCACTTAAGTCTCGTGGAAACTAAAGATTAATGTCGAAACTGCACTACTTTTTTTATTTTGAAAACTAATTTATAATTAATTGTCAGTATATTGGTACAATGTAAATGTTTTTGCTACTTGTATTTTCTTTAAAACTCAACTTGTCTTTTCGATAATATCTTAAAACGCGTCTTTTCAAATATCTCTTAAAACGGTAAGACGTTCTCAGATATGTTTATGCATAAGATAAAAGACCCAGTGAAAGGTATATCCGAGGTGATGTGTAGAATATTCGGGCAATATTTTCCTAAATGACTGTCACTCCTAGCTACTTTATTATTTTTGTTTCGTTTATACTTATTGCTTAAAGAACTTTTCAGATTGATATTAGAATTAAGGAAACAACTGAACTGGTCCGGTCTGACTTAAGGTTGAAAGAGTTAACGGTTTATTATACTGGTGAAAAAGGTGAAATACAAGAGTTAGCAAAAAATTGCCGTTCAGCCGGGTATTCGACAAAACATTTTGTTAGTGAAACAGACTGCATCCTAAACAATATAGAGCAAATGTTGTTTTTCTTATAAGAGAAATATTCCGAATATTGTTTACCCCGCAGGAGCCTAAGACTGGTTCCGAGCTTCGCGCGAAATAATATTTCAATGGTATTAATAGGTATTCTGGCAAAAACATGGCTCCGAAGGCGCACTTTGTGGGTTTCTTTTTGTTGTCCATTATATCAACTCACTTCATCCCCAGTGGGATATAGGGCCTTTTTGTTATCACGTGGTATTAAAATCTCGATTCTGATTGGCTTAAGGCCGGCGGGGTAAATACAATGTATTGGTAATTTATATGTCGCCAGGAACGAACGGCGACAATCACCAAAGACAATTGCGGAGTCAATCTATATTACAAACTCGTTAAATTATTCAAAATTGAATCTATCATGATAATAAACTTTACAAATGAATAAAAGAATCGATATCAATGGCAGAATTAGTTATTCCTTTGTCATAAACCTTGTTTAAATTATCGCGTGACAGGGAGGTTCATAACTTCTATATGATTTATCTATTGCAATAATGTTATCGCCAATTAAAGGTCTCTTAGAAGCATGTTTCTGTTATATCAGAACAACTTTTGGCATGCTATTATCGCGAACATTTTCATAACAAAAGAACGCACATATATTGTGCACCTTAACAATAATGATATTTATAAAATTGTATTATATAAATACAGCAAATGTACCAATTAATTGTTTGATATGGAATTTTAAAGGGACTCCATGTCGGATTTTTTTCAGATGACCTCACTGGAAATAATTTTTCAAGATATAAATGTTCAGTGCAAAATTTCAGATCATTCACTCACTCCGTTTTTCCAGGATAATTATTCTTATCGTGAAAAATAACGCAAAAACTTATGAGTATTGCAAATCTTTTCACTGAATAGCTAAAAAAATACGATATTGGATTTATTTCAGAGTATCTTTCTTAAGTATATCTTGCATATCACTCTGTTTTAAGTGACCAAGCTGGCCTTTGTAAGAATTTTTTTTTTCAGACCTCAGTGGAGTTCCTTTAATATATTGACATGCTTATAGACCTTTTTACGACGCGGTCCGTTGCTATAAAAAATTGACCGGATGTAGTGTTTTCTCGCGCATGCGCAATCTGCACAGGGCAAAAGAGCATTGCCCTACATAGAAATGTAGTAGAAACAATGTTTCCAAAACAAAACGAGATAGTCATTTCTGCACGAAATTCACGTTTCACGTACCTGTAACGTTTTCTCAAAGATTTCATACGATATGACCAGAACTTCCGTGGCTTCTTCAGCAATAGCCGAAGCATTCCGCTGTCTGTTTGGGTAAATCAGGGCCAACTCCCCGAATGCTTGGTACTGACCTGGAGTATACCGATTCAATATAAATGAAAATCCAGCTGATTGAAATGAAAGTCACTATTCTTCAGCACGAATACCTTTGAGAAAATTTTAAGATATCGCTTAAAACAAATGATCGTCTTCTCGTTTCAACAACTAGCCACTTCCTCAAAATGAACGGCATACGATCCTTATTTTTTAGAAGAACAATATTTCAACATTGTAAATACAAGAAAGTGAAAAAAGAACAAAGTGTAATGGCCAATACAAGAGTAAACTAAGTGTAATTACAAATATAGTATAAGACAATGTGTAATGAACTATATCTTAGTAAGTAAATTGTAATCAAACATTCGTCTTCGTCTCAGTAAACGCATTGCACCTGGTCATAACCATAATGTAATGGTACACACGCTTATAAACAAACTATAATGTTATTAACCAACTGCAATCACCAAGTTATTACCCATTCGCAATGACCAACACATTATGTAAACTAAGTGTAATGACCTACGAGTATATATTAGTAATCAAAGTGTATTTTTGTAATGTAATATTGATTGAATGTATTACGCACCAAGCGTATTGACACACTGTCCAAACTTCTTCCTGGACTTTTTCTCATCTTTCTTGTCCTTAACAAACATGCTCTGTCTTCTTGAGTTACGACGAGTGTTCTTTGATGTCGGACGAGTTGTCCTTGATGTTGGGCGCATCGTTTTTGAATCTGGTCGCCCAAGATTTGCGTGAATTGACTGAAAAACAATACCAAGGTTACTTAATGTAATTTTTGGTACTTCACGTTTGCTGAGAACCACGCAATTTTTGCACAGTCTTAATTAGCATTATGCTCATAATAGAAACTGAAATAAAATCATCAGTCTGTCAGAATTTTAAATATCGAATTCACTTGGTTCCCGATTAAGATTTAATACATTTTGTTCCTTGATTAGTGTTAATTATAGAGGTGTATGTTGATAACCAGCACTAACAGAAGTACAACATCCAAACAACAGTGTAATGCTTTTGCTAAAAGTAAACCAAAAGAGTAGAAGTATAAAATTGCTTTGAATGTTCCATAACAGTGTATCAATACATTTTTGTTTAGACGGGAGACGCACGATTGGGCGCCATTAAAGTCACACACCAACCCTTTAATATCAAAACAATATTGAACTCTGTAAGATTTCAGCTCATTCTACCTAACAAACTGACTATAAAATACCTCTCTACGAGACCTGCCACTCGTAGATTTACCATGTCTATCATCAGAGTCAACATCCGGTTCTGTGACCATGGACATGCGCCGTGGAGGCGGAAACGGAAATGACGGATTGTCTTCAGAAATAATTCCTTTACCATCTTGTTTGACATCAAGGTAAATAGACACAGATCCTTTCAAGATGATGTAAAATCTATTGGTAAAAGATGTATTGTTGGTGAATGGAAAAATGAAAAAATAAAACGGACACGAGGATTAAAGAAGTTTCCTACAATAATTTAATATGCAGCAGATACACCGTGATTTCTAACTAAAATCATTTATAAATCAGTGCTAGGCATTTTCATGTTTTCGGGCGTGGATCAGTTGGCTTGTGGTTTTAAGCAACTCGTTTCTCTCAATGTTCCTTTAAAACAACAAGTAAACCAAAGCAAGGTTTTTCACTGCATTAGCATTGTTTTGCTTCTTACATGGCCTCACTTATGAGTTATTTATGAGTTATCATTTAAATACATATGAATTTAAAGTTTGAAATCACAATCGTCAAACTGTAAACTATATAGACTGGTTATCAAATTCTAAATGCTCAAAATATTAAGCAGTAAATCTAGTTTTTTTTCAAGAATGAAAAAAGAAAAAAAAATGTAGTTCATCTAAATGTGAAATAAAACAGTACTTTATTAAACCCATTTACATGTGCAACATATGAGTAAATATTAAAGCCATTGTTTCTGTATGGTTTACGAGCACATATTTAAAAGGTTTATATACTAAATACACTAGCGTTAACAAAAGATTCGTAAAAGTGAAGAAACTTTAAAAGCCATTGTTAATGTGTCTTGGTAGAGCTCTACAACTGCTTTATACGTAACAGGGTGGATAGTTTTCATGTAACGAATTAATGTCTTACGATTCAGTGGACTTATTTATATAGGTATGATTTGGAGAAAATGATAACAATAAGTGTAATAATTTTATTCAAAATTAGAGAGAAAACTTACGTATCTCCAACTTCTCCTTGTTTGACAATGACGTCATCTTCCGCGTGTTTCTCAAGCTTTGCTCTTTGTAAGATGAACGCTACGACATCTGAAAGAGCAGTTTAACGTGGCTTAAGGAACTTATGATTTATATAATTATGTGACATGATAAATAGTTGTGTTTTTGTCGCTCCCTAAAAATGAGTTTGTATATATTTAAAGATAAGATTCTTTTGAAATCATTTTGTGCTGGATTTACTGTTAGTGTAAGTAATCGAATAATTTTTTATATAGGAAGAAAACAGACATGGAAAAAAGGTAGCAGTGATAGTGACAGTGAAGGACAAAGCAGAAGGAAAATTACCAGAGTAATTAAAGTACATATGTTCTGTTATATAAATTAGATATTTAACTGAACTGTAAGTGTAGTAATTTCGTTAAATTCTAATGGCATAAATATATATTTCAAATTCATAGAGTTACCCAACTACACATGAGCGATGTCATGAGGTTATTATAACATAGTTGAGTACAATACTGAATTATATTGGACGAGTACACTTATGTCATATTGGACGAGGCCCTAGCCGAGTCTGATAAAGATTTTGTAGCTGTCTACGAGTCCAACTGAATCAGGATTGTTCTCGACAATATATAATGACCTCTTTATTTCGCTGTTTTGATATTTTGACAGAACTTTGTAATCTAAATTACAATAAGGATTTATAGGATTTTTTTATCCTGAAAATGAAAACGAGGCTAGATAAAGTACGATTGTACGATATGCATTTAACATAGTTATTTAAGGCTCTGAAAAAGAAAACGAGGCTATAAAAGGATCTTTTTGCATTTGATATAGAATGTTTGGACTCTGGAAACGTAAAAGAGGCAAAATTGATAAGGCTGTGTCCGATAACGATTTCTATTGGAACATCACGTGATGCAAAGGTTAGTTTGATTTGTTATATTTTTATAAGATATCTAACGATGATGTTATTATTGATGAAAAAGCGATAAATTTATTAAAAGGATAAAACATATACCTTTGTCAATTGAGCGGAAACATGTTGTTTTCATGGTCAGAATTGGCAAGATGGCGTTGATTGATCTGTCCGACCTCTCGCCAGGTGGCGCTTCGAACAACTGCACGAGATAGTCGCTCACTTTCTTCAGTCGCATTTTCAAAAGATTCGAGATTTAAAATCTATGAAACAAATTAATGTTAGTCAGAAACTTCACATTAAAATGTTTATAAATTAAGGGAAGTACAAAATATCGTCTCTTAAACACGGGCCCATTGTAAAATAGTCTAAATATAGAATCAGATACAAAAGTCTCGTGCAAAAGCAGACGATATTAAGCGTTCCTTTAAATTTTATTCCCATCCTGTTTAAGAGCTGCTACCGATACTGCTTACATTATAAATAATATAGCTTAAATATTTGTTTAGAAAATTGACGCAGACGACAAAAGCTCTCGTCTCCCACTGATTTATCAATTAAGCTATTCTTTTTTTCTAAAAACAAAAACCATTTATAAAAATGACAAGTGAAACACCGATTTGATTTATTTATTTACCATTTTGCTTTTAAAATCGAACTGATTTTATGTCCAAATTTTCGAAAAATAAAAAATATTGAACAAATAGTAAACAAAAGCTGAAAGTTTTAAAAGAAGTCTTTAGTATATTATCATCTTTTTGAAAATGAACTATATAAATGCATATTACCTACCAAGTAAGCTTATTCTTTCCGCATCTTAAACACACAAAATTGCGTAAATACTAGCATTATCCCAAATATGGTATTAATCAAATCCGCCCATTCACTGATGAAAAATGAATCCGTATCAATTTGTATCGTGAATTAAAATCTTGCGCTATAATTACTACAATTACAGATGAAATTCTCAAATATCTTATTACACCACTTTAATATACAAGGGTTTTAAATTCTGCCAAATTCTGCACACACGAATAAGATCCAGATAATCATTGTTAAAGTTTTGTTCCGTTTGAAGATGCGTTCAATGATACCCTATATACAATACGTATATAATAAAACTTCAATAACTTTATGTTAAGCTGAAGACTTGTTAATTTAACAGGGTTACAATCAGATATTATATTCCGTTGGCACTGATTCTCATTATCTGACATCAGATATTTGAATTGATCACTCTATATATGTGTAATGGACTTGCCCAGCGTTGGAGTCGGAATAGTCCATTTTAATTTTTAGGGATGATCTATTTTAAAATGCTAAAATCCAACAGTCTGGAGCCCGGCTTTATTCAACTGGAGGCTGGTTTGGCTCATGATGTTGCTGTTGCCGTATCATTATTCCCGTTAGCGTTCTTTCATCGCATCTTCTCGTACATTTCCGTCGAACTTCGGATAAAGACTAATAATAATTACCGTAGAGTATATTTGTTTAAAACATACGCAAGCGCAGAAGGTCGGATACCAAATAAATTAAACAAACAGACATGGTACAATATAAATTTAATCAATAGACAAAATAATTAGACTGATCTAGTCAGGATTAGAGATTAATGTTTGTATCTTGTAGTCGCGTTGTCGTTTATATTTTTTATTCATTTATTTTACCGGTGTGCTCATGAAAATATTTACAAATCAAACGCGGTATTAATTGATATATTACAACGATAAGTAGCAAAAAAAGAATAATCAAAATAACTAAGTCATCATTCATGTTCAAGTACAATGTAAATGCTACATTGCTCTATTTGCTTAATTTGCGACACATGCAAGATCCATTGTTAGTGTCTGAACCTCAAGGATTATAGTATTTTAATTAAATGAATCGCAACACATTAAAGTTGCATGCCTCCAGATGAAACAAATAATTTCAAGAAAATCAATAAGATTTTAAGGAAAGTAACACTCTTAACAAAATTCAAGTAATGATGTACATGTCACATGCTTTGACCGAGTGATTTTTGCAGTATTTATCACCATATTTCTTGAGCGCTATTTTCCCATATTTTGACTTTTATATGTTAATTTACGCGGACAGAAGTGCCGTTTGCAAAGTGTTATTAAAACTTTACAATTGGTACACTGTCAAAATTTTCATGAAAATAAGCATGAACCTGGAGGCACGCTGCTTTAAAATTGGTTAATTGGTCTTAATCAGTCTGGTATATCAACTGCTTATATGTTCAGCCATAATCACAGAAAGGTTTAAAATCAAACCATTTCTTAAAGTGAATTGGTCTACAATGCACATTTTTTCATAAGTATATATTTCAAATGTTGAAAAAAAAACAACAATAGAAATGTATCATTTGGATTTTCTTATGAATAATTATTTGGTGGAAACAATGTTGATAATGTTCTAAGCCGTGTCTATTCTAGGATTCGAAAAACATGGGGGATTTTTATCGAAAAGTGAAAAATTATTACACTTGTTTATCTTTTTCCTTCGTTCTCTATGTAAAATTTCCACCTTGCCTCTGAAAAAATGGGGGGGGGGGGGGGGAATTCTCAAAAATATGAGTGAATCCCAACACCCCCCTCACTAAGTGATTTGGCATTTCTAAAGAACAAATTATTAACTGCTACATGAATATAAATATAGTTTGTAATTTTTATTAAATTCTCATCCATACATGACAACATATAAAACACTTCAATTACAAATTATAAAAAATATATATTATCATAAAGTTGCCTAGACTACAAGCGTATTGCAAGGGTGACAATTCATAGACCGATACTGTAAGTACTACATATTTACTGAAGAGTTGCCTTTCTTTTCTATGCTTATTAACAATTAAGAAATCGCTGCTAATCTCGTTCGGAGAGAAATTCCAATGCCCATAGCGTTTTTGCAAAGAACATCATGGCAAAGTTCTTTCGGTTTATCTAAAATAATGTAATAAAAAGTACTTGAACTGATCAGCAGCTGTTTCTTAGCTCAAGTCTTATCAAGGTGACAATGACAAATATCAATATACGTACACTGTTAATAACGCGTGAATATTGGGTCTCAGAATGTCAGAAAGGTGAAGGTTGTGAGATTATAAACCAATTTGTTTTTGTATAGTGCCACCAATGCTTTCCAGTGTTTTAACTGCAGTAAATTGGCTATAAGACTAATTACAAGACTGATAGTTAATTCAATGTTTATTTGACTAAAACAAGAGCGATCAGTAATCACATGTGTCGCCTCATAATGGCCAATTTCATGTTGGGACAAATTTTGTGACAGACGGACAGACAGACGGACAGTGCACAACTAGACTTGGTACTGATCAATCATGTAAAGTTTGGATAAAATTGCACCAGTAGCTTATGAGGAGTAGTCCGGACAAGCTTTTGCGTATCTGGCAACACACAGAAAAAAACACCTTTTTATCAAAGGGCCATAACTCAGCCAAAAATCATTCAACCGGAAAACCCGTGCAATATATATATGCGCAAGGACTTGAGCCACAGATCAATCCTGTAAAGTTTCATTGAAATTGCATAAGTGGTATAAGAGAACTAGTCCGGACAAACTTTAAAAATAAAAATTATTAAAGGGCCATAACTCTGACAAAAATCATTGAACCGGAAAATGCTGACAAAATGCACAACTAGACTTGGTACTGATCATTCCTGTAAAGTTTGGATGAAATTGCACCAGTAGTTTATGAGGAGTAGTCCGGACAAGCTATTGTGTATCTGGCAACACACAGAAAAAAAACACCTTTTTATCAAAGGGCCATAACTCGGCCAAAAATCATTCAACCGGAAAACCCTTGCAATATGCGCAAGGACTTGAGCTACAGATCAATCCTGTAAAGTTTCATTGAAATTGCATTAGTGGTGTAAGAGAAGTAGTCCGGACAAACTTTAAAATTAAAAATTATTTAAGGGCCATAACTCTGACAAAAATCATTGAACCGGAAAATGCTGACAATATGCACAACTAGACTTGATACTGATTATTCCTGTAAAGATTGGATGAAATTGCACCAGTAGTTTATGAGGGGTAGTCCGGACAAGTTTTGTGACGGACGGACGGACAGACAGACAGACAGACGGACAGACGGACAGACAGACGACGGAGAAGTGATCCCTATATGTCGTCACTACTCCGTAGAGGCGACACAAAAATGAGTTGCCTCAACTGAGGTTTGAAATCGAGACTTCTCGATTCACAAGCGAGCGTGCAAACCCCTCGGCCACGGTGCAGTTCATGTTAACGGCCTGGAGAAAACCCTATTATTCTAAATTAGGGCTTGTAACTCGACGCTAAACACCATGGAGCTTACTATAAGCATGTATATCTATAAAGAATGAAACAATATTAGAAATCTTCGACCATTCGGGAAATACTTTGTTTGAAAATTAATGCGCCTGTCATTTGACAATCTTTACGCATTGATCTCCCCTGAATTTTTCGGCGTTAGTGTACATATAAAGGGAAGTAACCGCTGCAAAAAAGTGGACTACTTTAGGCATTTGCAATTAACAGCATTAGGCTCTGAAATTTCGCTACAATTATTTGTTTGGTCTGACGACCCAAACAAAAAAAAAAAAAAAAAAAACACGAAAAGAGATATCAATACATTATTGCGCATAACGAATAATGTTACTAATGACTATTTCAACCAGTCACATTTATACCCATGAGCTTAAGAATTTAAACATTTCAATCTATAACGTCTATACATAGGCATGTGTAGGTGTATGTGTTTTTAGCGTATGAGGCTGAAAATATTTATTATATTTATTATGTTTATATTTATTATGTTTATATCAGCAGTATACTACGTTGAATATTTCTGCCGAATGTACATTTATTTAGAGTTTATTAAGTTGAACATTTCAAACTATAGCAATTTTATGTTTATTTGTTTTATAATAAACAAGGTCGAAAATTTCATCTATTGAATTTGTATGTTTATATCTAAGAGTATATATAGGTTGAAAATTTCAACCATGTTATATTACTTTGCTTTAGCGAGCATAATTATGATTGTATACATACAAAGGGTATTGTATTGATTATGAATTGACTACGTATCGAATTACATAAATTTCTTTTCATGTAAATGTGGTTCTCTATGCATAGTTAAACAAGTTTGATGTCGAAACTTAAACCCTCCTTTTGTACATATACATGTACTTTAATAGTTATTTAGTAAAAATCTTACATCCAGACAAGTTTTTCTCTAGTTTATTTTCAACTTTTAACGCAACAATCTTTTTTTATTTGCTTCCATATACGGACCATAGCATACATATATATATATACACACAGTATAATTTATTAATAAGTAAACCTTTTCGTAATTATATAATACCCTACTTCTTTGCTATAAGTGACTGTTGTGGCTGCCCAGATGAAATTTGTTCTACCTTTAAAGTTTATTTCAGAGACTTCAAAATAAACCATCAACTCAAGCGATTGCAGTAGCAAAATCAAAGCACAGAAAACGCTGAATTTGTTTGGGTCTCAGAATGTAAGAAAGGTACAGGTTGTGAGATTATATGTATAGTGCCACCGATGCTTTCCAGCGTTTTAATTGTAGTAAATTGGCTAAAAGACTAAATGCGATGATATTCAATCCAATATTTATTTTACTTAAACAATTTGAAAAAAAATGAGTTGCCTTTACTGGGATTTGAACTCAAGACCTCTCGCTTCTTAAGCGAGCGCGAAAACCCTTCAGCCACGGTGAATTTATATGTGAACGGCCTGAAAAAAACCGTATTATTCTAAATTAGGGCTTGTAACGACTTTAACTGTTGTTTAACACAGATGTAAATAATCCTGGAGCTTACTATAAGCATGTATATTTATAAAGAATCAAAGGGCTGCAAGTTCTCTGGTATTTTCTGATTCGCACTATATATCTGTATGCATTTTCCTGTATAAGTTTATTTTTATGTATTATAATTCATTTTGCAAGGCACCAGAGTTTGATACATACGGAATTCTGCATAACTAGAGTTGCATAAAAATATCATTTATGTTCATTTTTTACGACAGCCACACTTTATCCTTGCATATCGTGGCTACTTTCCTAACAAAGACACTTAAAAAGAATTTAAAAAAAGTTTCCTCGACTGGGATTTGAACTCCAAACCTCTCACTCACTAAGCGAGCGCAATACCCCTGCACCACGTAGAAGTTATACAAACAATGTCTGAATAACATCAAGTCATTCTAAATTTAGAACTTCCATTGCATTTCGGGTTTGTAATCCTTATTA